GCTACCTAATCACATTCGCTTACCACCTCATCCGTAGCCACTTCACAAGTCAAAGCTAGCCCCTTCCCTTTAAATAAGTATATGGAAAAAATATAAGATAGTTCGAATAAATTTCTTGAGCTAATAAATAGAATAGATGTCAATACTAAGTCTATGATTGGGTTGGAGAAGGAAAATTAATTGCCTTTTTTGGATGCATTACTGGGTAAAGAAGATAATAGGTCAGGCAAAGACGTGTAAAGGAAACCTACACACACGGGATTCCTTATTAATTTCTTCTCCAACAATAGGCATAGTCAAAATAAGAGTAATGAAATCAATGATAATAGGGAGTCTACGTCTAGCAGACATAAACGCCAAGGGTCCGGAGTTTGGTAGATTGATGCATATATTGTTTCAAGACAATTACATTTCACTTATCAGTAACAGGATTATGAGAGTTTGCTAATTGGGGCGGGATAGACAATTAGGCCATTCTACTCTGTTCCTGATTTTGCCTTCTTGTCAGCTTGCGAAAAGGTTAGCTGATCTAATGAGGAAGTGTTTAAAAATAAATCAAAACTTTTTTCTGTAGTTTCTTCATTGTGTGCTCATGCGGTAAGGTCTAGGTGGAGGAATCCTGCCGACCCATCCAGAAGAGACTATGCAAACACGAAACCGCTTGTAAAGTTCTATCAGTCCAAAAGTTTTAAGGTCACTGAACAAATGGCCAATAAAGGATACCCAACAAACTGGCCAAAGCACAACATTTTTCAGACTGCAGTGACTTCATATCAAATATTAAGATTATGGGGTATATAGAAATTAACAAAACATTCAAAGTCCTGAATAAGAGGAACGAGTGTAGAAAACTGAGTAGGAACTATTTCTGGCTGCTGAAGAATGAGAGGGAATGCAGGAAACGCCAATGAAAAAGAGAAAGAGACTGGTTTAGCTTCGATCCAGTACACAGACTATCGTATTTCCAATAATATGAACATTAAATAAACACAATAGACAATAGTACAAGCCCAAACATGAATCAAAATTAGAGGATTGTACACTATTTTATTTGTGTAAAGAAACAGCCATCGTCGAACGCACTTCCGGTTTGTGGAGTAACTTCACTCATCTGCAAGCATGTAGAGTAAGGTTGAAGTAGGCAACTAAATCATGAGATGCCTTCTTAGGATCGCGAAGTTACGCGTATAAAAAAGCGACTTGGGTTGCAGCCGGTCACCTTTTCTCTTTGTTTACTATATTTTTGCTGAGCAGAGATTTTCTTCACACAATACAACGGTCTTCACTACGCGACAATTCTTATTTGATTTCCAATGGGATCACATCACGACATTCTTACAACCAATTTTTCCTTCGAAATGGAAAATCATGTCATATCTCTATGGTATTCCTTCTTTGGCTTCATGTGATACCAATTCGCAAATACCTTCCACTCGCCTTTTCATACAAAATAAAAAGTATTGAAAAATCACTCCATTAAGAGATTCTTCAAAACCCACACCTACAATAAATCTATTTATGTTTATGTGGCATTCTTATATCCCTGTTTTTCAGAATAACTGTCTATTTGATAGACTATCTTTTAATCAAAAATATACCAAGTGATATAGTATAATTATATTTTATACTATCACTTGCAATTTAATTTTTATTTCAAAGGGGTGCGTTTTAATTGTTGCTTCATAAGCCTTTCGCGCAATCGTCAGCTGTGTCCCTGTGTGTTCTTTTACTTTTAGTTGTTATTTTTTAACTCCTTTCTTTTCCTAATTTTTTAAATTTACAATGACGTCTAAATGAGGGTTTTTTCCTAATTTATTTCGTTTAGGGTGGGTTAAGCAATTTTTATGAAATATGCCAATACATAGGCACATCAAAAATGTTGTTCACAATTATACTGATGCAGAAAGAAAAGTTAGAGAAGCGACCTCCAACGATCCATGGGGCCCTAGTAGCACTCTCATGGCTGAAATTGCTGACAAGACGCATAACGTAATGGCGTTCACCGAAATTATGCAAATGATATGGAGAAGGCTGAATGATAAAAATAAGAACTGGCGACATGTCTACAAGGCTCTCATTCTATTAGAATATATCATAAAGACTGGAAGCGATAAAGTTGCCGTTCAGTGTCGCGAAAATATTCATTCCATTGAGACCCTTCGGGTAAGACATTCATTTTGTACTTTGTCTACCTTTTTCGTGCTATACATATCACATTCCCTTTAAAGGACTTTGAATATGTTGAAGAAGGCAAAGACCATGGCCTTAGTGTTCGCGAAAAAGCTCGTCTCCTCAGTACTTTGCTCCGAGACGAGGAACGTTTAAGAGAGGAACGAACAAAAGCTCTTATTTCCCGAGACCGCCTTATGATTGGAGGTTTGGGGACGACTGTCCGTTGTAGTAGTTCTCCGATGGGCTGCTCCACGACTGATGGTGGATGGACCTCTGATGCGTCGCCTTACGCTTCCACTGGCACTGGTTACGGCCAAATGAGGAATCCTCGAGGTTCTAAGGCTCGTACTCCTCCACTTTATGATCCGAGTAGGCATTTTCATTCAATCTTACTCATATGTATATGATTGTTTCATTTTAATATAATTTAATTGATCATTGTTTCAAATTAAAGCTACTTGTTCCCCGCCGTCCTCCAGTTCTGAAATGGAAACAGCTCGTCCCCATTCTCCTGGCGAGGAACAGCTGCAGTTACAGTTAGCACTTGCAATGAGTAAGGAAGAGCATGAGAGGGAAGTGCGCCGTAGACGTGCTGAGGAGGAGAAGGAGGAGGCTAAATTGCAGATGGTAATGGAGCAAAGCAGGGCACAAAGAGAGGTAGATTATAGACTTTTTTTCCCCTCCGAATATATTTCTCGCATGTCTTCACTAATTTCCTAATTTAGGAGGAAGCTCGAAAAGATGATTCTACGACGCAACCACCTGAGCCTTCTCTGGGTGTAAGTGGAGGAAATCTATTCAATCTGATTGACACTTCACTTTCAGCGGCACCTGCGGATGTTCCAGATCCTTGGGCAACCGCAATTGGTTCAACTTCAAATTCTGGCGGATCCCTTCATGCTTTTCAAGATCAGCCATTTGGATTAACTTCTCATCCTTCTAGTAATCCAAATTTTGTCAGCCAGGGCATTCATCAAGTTTTGGTATCTACGGATGAGAAGCAGATCATTTCCACTAATGGGCAAGGCCATTCATCCTATCCAATTCAGTTAGATGATCCTTGGGCTTCCCCTTATACTCCTCAGTCTCGTATGGCAGCATTCGGTATGCTTATTTTGTATATATTTCTGATCCTTGTCTATGTTTCCCGATAAACTATGGGTCATTTGTGCTTGGTTAAATTTTTTGAACGTAATTGTCTCTTCTGTTTGATTTTTTGTTTCTACAATTATTCTATTTGAACTCATTATTGTTGCAAGGCCCATATTTATCTTTATAACTTGACTGACTAGTTATCTTATCTTTCTGATCTCTGTCACGGGATGAACATATACTAAGTTTAATTCGTCTGTCTGTTTTTTTTAATAATTACCCTCTAGAGGAAAGTAAATTGCCCACTATGTCCATTATTTCATCCGAGAACAATGCCGGATCCAGTGCTCAAGACGTATGGGGGCTGAAGTCAGCATTTACTGGGCCTCTTTTAGAAGCTACTACAAATCGGCTTTGGACTGCCAATGGAGCAATCATGAACATCTCGTCTAATCCCGGGCCTTCCTGTTCAAGAATATATGATTCAGCAGGAACTAATGAACTATCTAGGGAAGATGATGAAACCAACGGGCAAACAAAGAAACGTACTCCAGCTGACTTTCTTGGCGAGCATCAGGGTCTTGTTGATTTGGACAAGCTGGTCGAGCGTAGTCCAAGTAATTTGTTAATTATTTTTATGTTTATCCTTATTCATCTTTAATTTTTTTGGCCCATTCTTTTTGTTATGATTTTATCTACTTAATGATTGCTGTGGCCTTTTTAAGTCTTCGCTTTCCGTTTATTTCCAAATTTTCTGAAGGGCCTATTTAACTAGCTTATTGCATTACGTAAACCCAAGTTTCTTTATTTCGCTTTCACAGGCTTGGAGCAAAGCATTCCTAAAAGAAGCTTTTGGAACAGAATGGTTTCAAATCTATCATAATAAATAGTTTTAATTCCATAATGACCAGCAGTCTTGATTCTTATTTGATTGTCAGGCCTATTTCTTGCCTCATGTTACTAAAAGTTTAGTCCTGAAGGTTTCCTCAACAATTTAAATTTTGTTTAAATGTCAGAGGGAAAGTATTCACGAATCGACCCTACTGGAAGAAGGAAGATTCCATTGCAGATATTACTTATGCTTTGAGTAGACAGGTCTTTGAAGTATTGGCCGGAAGAGGTGATGAACCCATAATTGGTTCAACTATCTATTCTGCTACCAATGAAAATCAAGAAAGTCGTCCTGATTATCAAGCGGGTTAATCGTGTCAAAGACTCCGCTTGCAAGATATTAAATTTTCTTTGAAATATTTGCATACATTGGCTTTACGCCAAATCTTGCCAACTGTTCTGTCCCTTCAAGCCGTATTTCCCTGATTCTTTGAGAGAAATTCGCGACATTAGATTAACTTCGGGAGTTTGTGCGTTGCTCCATATTTGAGGTTGATTATTAGTCTGTCTGTACCTCTTCGATAATCTTTATGCTCTTGACAGTCTTTCGTTCTTTCTTAAGGGTTAATTCTGTAAAATTTGTCATCCATTTGTTTTATCCTATTGCATATTTCGCCTTACTCTCTTGATCTATCTTCTGGCAAAGTCGCTGAAATGACTCAAAACTACACTAATTGAGATTAGGCTATCATTCTTAAGCTCTAAGTCCGTTGGTTTTCCTACGGCTGCCAAGAGGTCCTTAATTGTAAATGCCATTACCACTCCCCATAAATACCTCTTGGTTTGGCTACACTTAAATGAATTTATTAATATATCATTCAAAAGACCAAAGTAAATGCTTATTTAAAATAAATATGATAAAATATATGGTGATAAAGATGGCGTGGCCCCTGGTATGGTACAGTCTCCTTTAGATTTACAGAAGTGGGGTGACCTCGTTGTCGCAATTTGGTCTTGTTCTTAGGGCGCCTTGTTCGAATTCCTCTGTCATGCTAGTGATAATAATTCCAAGCACCAGATTGTTGACTTGGTATATTCTCAGACGCTTCGCTGGCACCATCGTGAATGTTGCCATTCTCCACATCAAGCTTCGAACTCATCCAAGGGACAAGTGAAGTCAATACCCCGATCAAGGTTCTTCCGAAAACGTTTACACTATCACTCCCATTTCTGCCCTGCCCCATCTATCATCTCTTTACCCTCTTAGCTAACACCCGCTCTATCACAACTTCTGGCTTGTTTATATTCCATTCGTCAAAATTTAGCGTGGCACCATTACCTGCTATTCACTATGAGCACTTCCGATCGGCTAGCCGAATCGGGCCTCCTATCCGGATCTCCCTTATGGTCCCGTAGATCCGCTCCTTATCGGTTCCAGTCCCAGTGTGCGTTTTACTTAAGGCCGTAGAAGTGGATACCCCATTTTCCTAGAAGGAAAATAGATACCGGAACACATTGCACAGACTGGACAGGAGATCAATTGGAAGCAACAGAAAGAAGGGCCTTATACGGTCAAAACACACGGAAGCGGAAGATTAAGGAGGCCATTGACATCCTTGGGGAGAAAAATCTAATGAACAGGATATTGGAGGAAGGTAGATTTAGCGATAACTTTGCCTATTACTTAAGCAAATTTGGGAAAAATATGAATACAGCAAGACCAGTAAAAAAGAGACGTCTGGATCAGGATCTATCGCTAGCCTGAAGAAAAGGGAGGGGCGGGGATTTTCAGCAATCAGGCGGAGATATTCTCAATGAGTGATGTCTGTTCGAATAAACCAGTACAACTTTGGTGGCCTGGCAGTCATCGAGCTAGGCAGATAGATAAACAAACCGTCACAAATTCCGCATTATGTCAAAAATGTACCAGAAATCCACTTAAGATGTGACCAGGGATAGGCGTCCACAGTTTTCTCAGGTAACGCAGGCTTAATCAGGGATACGGCCCGTGAAGGCAATGCCTGATATCCGCAAGCATGGGAATCAGAGCCTAGGCACTGTGTTTGGTGACGGGGCAGTTACATCCTTATAGTGCCTTGACAAATAGCGCCTGTAGTAAAAGACACACTGGGACTGGAACTGTGAAATCGGCTACCCAGAAAGATAAGGAACGGATCTACGGGACCATGAAGAAGATCCGGATGGGAGACCCTAGTCGGATTTGTTGATCGAAAGAGTGGCTCAGGGTGAATAGCAGGTGTGATGAGGCCACACCAAATTTGCCAAAAAGTGTACACATTTTGATGAGTGGAATGTAAACAAGTCAGAAGTTAGAAAAGGGCGGGAGTTGGCTAAGAGAGTAAAGAGTTGATATATGCGGCTGGGCGGAAAGAGGAGTGATGGTGTAGCAATTTTCGGCAACTGGCTTTCCATCACACAAAGGAATCTTCAAATAAGCTAGTTAATAGGCCAATCCGACATTTATCTTCTTTCGATACTTCATTTGTTAACATTGATCCCGCTCAAATGCGATAAAACATTTTACTATTATTCACAGTTAACTATAGGCATTATTGACGAAAAAGGAGTAAAATGCATTGGCTTAATATTTTGGTAAGTAACAAGTATGGTTATCTTCTAGTGTTTATAAAATCTTGAAGGTGGGTTTACCTCATTTCCGCAACTTGGTCTTGTCAGGGCAACTTAGTTGGACGTACCATGTGGGAAGTCCTTTGTCACAGTATTTATAATTTCCAGCATCGGACCGTGGACATTTTCAGACGTTTCGCCGGCATCGTAGTCGGCACCATCAATGATTCTTGCCGTTCTCAGCACCAAGCTATAACTCGTTAAAGAGACAAGTGAAGTCAATCCCTTTACCAAACGGTTTCGCTATCACTCTTATTCCTGTCGCGGCCCATCTATATACTCTTTATCCTCTTATCTCACTCCTGCCCGATCACAGCTTCTTACTTGTTTACATTCCACCCGTCGAAAGGTTTACCCTTTTTGGCAAGTTTAGTATGGCCTCATCAAACTTGCTGTTCATCTTGTCCTCATCTCTTTCGTTCGGCTAATCCAGCTCGGGCCTCCTATTTGGATCTCCCTCATGGTCCCTTAAATCCTTTTCTTATCTTTCTGGTTGACCGATTTTACATGATTACAATCTTGGTGTGCGTTTTACTCTAGACGTTATTTCTCAAGCCATTGGAACTACATACACTGCTACCTCACCGAGCAGAGCGGCAGATATTAGGCAATGCATTTACTGGTCGCCTTCTTGATTAAGCCTGTGTAACCTGGGCAAACTGTGGACGCCCATCCCTAGTCGCCTGCTGCATCTTGAGTGGATTTATATTACATTCTGATCATAATGCCTAATTTCTGTGACAATTGTGCCTATCCATTCCCCTCATTACTTGAACCTCAGACCCCCAAAGTTGTAGTGATTTATTCGAGCAGATTTCATTTATTGAGAACATCCGCTTGATTCCTGAAATTTTTCCGCCCTCTTTCTCCTCGCGATCTCTTTTCCTCTGGTTAACGATAGGTCCTTGGGTCATGAGTATCTTAACCATCACAGAAATTCGTCATTATGGTCAGAATGTAATAGGAGTCCCATCGAGATGTTTTAGGCGACTAGAGATAGGCGTCCAAAACTTGCTCGGGTTACATAGGTTTAATCAAGAAGGCGACCAGTGAAGGCATTGCCTAATAGCTGCAGGCATGGGAATCAGAGTCTAGGCGCTCTGCTCGGTGAGGCGAGTGTATGCGCTTCTAAGGGCTTTAGAGATAATGTCTGATGTAAAACGCGCACTACGACTGGGACCGTGCGAAATTGGTCACTCATAAAGATAAGAAACGGGATTATGAGGAAGAGGATATGAGACCCGAGCCGGATTAGCAAATCGAAAGAAATAAGGGCAGGGTGAACAGCAGGCTTGATGAGGCCACACTAAACATGATTTTTATTTGCGCTCTTCTTGTTACTTAAGACGTTACTAACTAATCAAGTCATTTACCTTGCAATTTGTCCTTCCTCTATTTCTATCGCATTGCAAGAAGTAACCCTCACTTTTTTCCTCTGGTTTCTTCTTTTCAATCTGTTGCTTGTTTTCTTAAATTATTTCGACTCCGATCTTCCCCTTGACTATTAGCTTTTATTATCCTGCAGTGCATGGATTTTCTTATTACTCCAGCTGGTATTCCGTATTAACCCTCAGTTGAATTTCTTTTGATTTCCCAAAGTATAAATATTTTCACGCATTTTTGCTTTCCGGTAGCATATTATCACTTGATCGGCAGGCTTCTTTCATATACGCCTCCACATGAACACAAAACCTTATTTCAATCTGATTTAGTTAGTCGGTTCAAAAAGATCATCTAACCGGGAAAAGTTTATACATGATTCTGATACCTCATTTCCTTAGTAAATAAATTAATATGAGATGTATTCACCCTATTTCGTCTAAGGTGATAAAGAACTGGTAGTAGAATTTTCCCATGATATGACTAGAGCTGAAGTTTCCAGTGAATTTTACAGAACCTTCATAAAACTTGTTCTCATCTAGGGTGGACTGCAGTTTCGACCTCGCATAGGTCTTGTCAACACCCACAATGGGAGGCGAACCGTGACAGGGCAGCATGTGAGCTTGCCACGTTAACACTCTGCCACATTGCTACGAGTGCCCTTGGGTCACAGAACAGATGTAAATTTCAGGGAAGGCCAGGCCTCTTCCCATATCACATAGTTTGGTGGGATTGTTGATTAAGCAAACGTATTTTTGCTATAGTAATAAATTACACTACTTATTTTTCATATATAACCTTTAACGAAATAGGTTGAATACATCTTATATAACTGATTTACTGGTAGTCTCAAAACTCTACTTATTTACGAAATATAAGTAATGTAGAAATTGTTT